TACTCCCGTCGGATCCTTTCCCTCAACGTTGACTGAACCTGCATAGAACTGACACTAACCCTGCAATCGCCGTAGGAACTGCATCCACCACCTGAATCTGCATCCGGGCGAACTCCTGGATCAGACGGCTCTGATGAGTAACAACATAAGTCAAGTCACCCTTCACCTTGCGGCTTAGGGCATCAGCAACGACATTCGCTTTTCCCGGATGGAAATTCAGGTGGTGGATGCACTTCCTACGGCGATTGCGGGGAGTATCAGTTCTATGCAGGTTCAATCGACGTTGAGGGGAAGGATCCGGCGGGAGCAGGCTTCTGATGAATTTGTTCGTGCCATTGATGCCAAAGTCCGCGCCGGAGGCGTTGAAGGTTTTCATCGAGGCACTGATGGGGCCTTGGAATTTCGAGGCAGGATTATTGTGCCAAAAGTCGAGGCGTTGCGGAAAGAGATATTGACCGAAGCCCATACCGCACCATATTTAGCCCATCCATGGAGCACGAAGATGTATCATGACCTGAAAAGGTCGTTCTGGTGGCGAGGAATGAAGAAGGACGTAGCCGACTTTGTAAGGAAATGTTTAACCTGTCAGCAAGTCAAAGCCGAACACAAGAGTCCCTTGGGCATTCTGCGACCACTGCCGATTCCAAAAGTGGAAGTGGGAGAAAGTTACGATGGATTTTGTCACAGGGTTACCTTAGTCAAAGAGTCAGACATTCCAAAGACCGCTTTTTGTACCCACTACGGTCATTATGAGTTCGTCGTCATGCCATTTGGTCTCAGTAACGCTCCAGCGGTATTCATGGACCTGATGAACCGTATTTTCCATCCTTACCTCGATCAGTTTGTTATTGTATTCATTGATGATATTCTAATCTACTTCAAGAGCCAGAAGAAGCACGAGGAGCATCTGAGGGTTGTCCTTGAAACCCTTAGACGTTAAAAGTTATATGTTAAATTCTCCAAATGCGAATTCTGGCTCCAGCGAGTAGCCTTTCTAGGCCATGTTATCACTCAGGCAGGTATCGAGGTGGATCCATCCAAAGTTGCCGCTGTTCAGAACTGGTCGACACCGAAGAATCCATCCGAGGTTCGCAGTTTTCTCGGTTTGGCTGGCTATTACCGCAGGTTCATTGAGGGCTTCTCCAAGATTGCCCTTCCTTTATCCCAGCTGACGAGGAAGTCAGTGAAGTTCGAGTGGACTGATCGATGTGAATTGAGCTTTCAGGAGGTCAAGACGAGGCTTACCACAACACCGGTGTTGACTATTCTCGATCCTTCTCGGAGTTTCACCATTTTCAGTGATGCTTCAAGACAGGGTTTGGGATGCGTACTCATGCAGGATGGCCAGGTCGTTGCTTACGCTTCACGCAAACTAAAACCCCATGAACAGAATTATCTGACGCACGACTTGGAGCTAGCCGCAGTTGTTCATGCTTTGAAGATTTGGCGACATTATTTATATGATGGTCGATACGAGATTTTCACTGAACACAAGAGTCCCTTGGGCCTTCTGCGACCACTGCCGATTCCGAAGTGGAAGTGGGAGGAAGTTATAATGGATTTTGTCACAGGGTTACCAAAGTCGTCTGAACATCACGATGCTATTTGGGTCGTGGTGGACATGTTGACTAGGGTTGCTCATTTCTTACCAGTATCGATGAATATGTCTTTGGACAAGTTGGCTGAGA